ACTCCAGGTTTCTCATGGTTTATAGTATAAAGCTATCAGCTCCATCTTTTCAAGTAATAAAGAGAGGGACAGGTATATATGATGCAAATAATGATATTTAGATGCATCAAGACTGATTCAAAAGGTTAAAAATGTAGGAAATGCTTGCTGGAGTGGTGCCATGGCTTTGTGCAGGCACACTGAGTGTCAGTCTCACTGAAGAACTCCCATTTATTTAACTGACTCCAGCCCTGGGTTTCTCAGAATCACAGAATACTTGAATTATTTTTCCTGAGAAGAGTTTTTAAAAAAACATATATAACAGCATATAGTCCAGCACAAAGCAGATATCTCAAACTATTTTTTTTTTTTTTAACTTTAAACCAAATTAAACACAGCAGTTCCTATCAAAAGCATACTACTCCTCAGTGAGAAGTAAATAATTCACTTAACTGTGGTGACAATGGTCTTATAGTACTATAGCCATGCAAAATTTATACTAATCATACAGGTATTTTCCTACAGACCAAGGGTCTGTAACTGGCCAAACAGCATTGTGGGTAAGCAGAAAAACTGATTACTGTTCCATAAAAGAAATTTAAGAGCTGGTTCAACATTTTACAAGTGTTTCCTCCTCCTATGAACAAGAAGTGTTATTTTTCTTTCACTGCAGGGAAGTGTCACTTTGAAATGGACTCTCCATTCCTAAAATCCAAAACACACACACCTTTTTTTTGTGCCTGTTTGGGATCATTTAGACCACACACTTTGGTAGAGGGCATCCTTATCTGAATCTATGAATCAAATGTGTTCTCCAATGGATATCTGGAGGTATAATTTGCCCCCTAACACTCTTCAATCTTTATCTCTGACACATTCAAGGATGCCTACCTAGCTCTCGCAAGAATAAAATGCTCATTAATCTTCAAAAATATGTCCTTACCTGCCTTCTGAAAATGAAAATGGACGTTCTTGAATAAACTAACAGAGATTTGCTGCAAACCCTGAGGATCATGCACTTTTGGAAAAATTTTGAATGTGAAAAAATTATAAATGAATATAAGCTGGTAGATTCAGGCCATATAAATCCTGCATGGTGCTGAGTTTTTCTTTGAAGGCTTAAAGCACTCTCAGCTTCCCTCAGCAGATGTCAATAGGAATCAAAAGCACTCAGAAGCTGATAAAATGTGGGATTCTTACATATACTTTTTCTGCATATTAGAGAGTATGACCTTGTTGTTTAACACTTTTGTAGGTGATATTATACAATGGAAATAACTTCAAAGCAACCACTGTCACCTATCTGTGCTAATTTAAACTTCTATTCAAACTTGTTAAGCAATCAAAAACCACGTCCAATTACTAGTAGAGTTGCTGGGAAATTCTAATTCATGAAAACTGGATCTGGCTGAAAGATGTATTTTCTCACTTTACAAAATTTTGAAACTGTGTCTTATCTTACGTATCTTCTAAATAATTAGAACAAAACAAACAATTAAAACAAAACAAAATAAAATAGCTAGGTTGAAGATCTGCAAATGGACATTCAACCCAAAGAAAAGACCTGAGAATACTTTTCTATTTCTAGATAGCATAGAAAGAAAGCAACCCTAAAAAGAGTGAAATGACTTTCACATTACATATTCCTTCTGTTGCCTTATGCATGTAACAACATTCATAAAGTGTATGAAGTCACTTACCACACCTGAAAGCATTATCAAGACACCTAATTACGTTTAAGTCACAGAGAAAGAAATTTCAAAGGCTTGTAGAAATTTAACAAAATTCATTTTGAACTGATCCTCTACAGCTAAAGGAACAGGTGCAGCCTGAGGTTCACCAGAAAGAAGTTCATCTTTTTTCTTCCCTTTAATTCTTTTTTTTTTTTTTTTTTGAAAAAACATCTATTTAGAATTCACTTTCAATCCTCAAATATTACCAGAAAAAAAAAAAAAAAAAGCTTGACTTGATTTTTATCTCCTTATATTTATTGTTAGTCTAGATGTTTACTTATGAATGCTGAGATTCTCCCATATATATTTAATCAGAAATAAAAATTGAGGCCCACACTTCACTTTACTTTTGGGTAAATACCTTTGTTTTGATTCTTTGCACTGAAACAAGAATTTCTGAGGCAGTGTCATGTCAACTCCTATGAAAACACTGAAGCATAAAAAAGTAATATGGGCTGTAGAGTATGTTCAAACCAACCAGATAGTGAGACACAGATACAAGGCATCTTGCACTACACAATAAACCCAGTTTCCTGTTTTCTCTGATACACAAACATGAAACTGATTATACTATAAATAAACAAATAAGCAACAAAAACACAACACAAAACTTACATGCTGCTAGTTTGTCTTAAATGAAATGGAAAGTTTCCCAAAAGCATCAAAATCCAAGTGGTGGTCAAAATTACAAAAAGAGATGTAGAACTTGCAACTGTAATCGGTGTTTAAGCATAATTTAAAATAGTTTATATCAACCTCTGGTGCCTATAGATGTGATTAATGCAAAACAATTTTCTCCTTCTCTATGTCCATATCCTTGAGAAACTTCTACTTTAATGCAGCTTCTCATTTGGTGTCTAAGGCTAATACAGTTTTAAACAGTACATGTCCTAGGAACAACTGAAGATAATCCCCTTTTGACTAGTAATAGCTTTTTTTATGATTCATACAGAAAATAAATACAGCTAGCAAAAGACAGAAAAAATAGTAGTTTTTGTAAATTTTTTAGTTTAAGTAAAATCTAGGAGAAGCTGATGGTTTGAATTGGCAGTCACAATGCTTCAGGTTCACCAGAACCCATTTTTTCAGATTCTGAAACTGGAATTCCCCAGCATAAATCTTCCCCCATGGAAAAACTATGTTCATCTTCATGAGCTACACCTGCAATCAATGCTGACTAAAATCACAATCATCAAAAAGGAGCAGCTGAGTTGTTCACATTCATTTGTTTTTCCAAGGAGTCAATGTAAAACTTAAACAACTTGCTGTTCTACATTCTATCTATCCTACCATAACACGTTATATCCTGAGACACTGACTAGAAGTATTTATAGTAGCAAGATTATGTTGGTAACCAGAATTGTTCAGAACAGGATCATTAGGCCATTTGTCCCTAAAAATTATTATTCCAATTTAAAATAGGTGATGTACATCTTTGCATATGAATGGTAAACTTTAGAGATCCAAAAAGGGAGATATGTCTACTAGTTCCTATACAAGCAGGAAGGGGCAGAAATGGCTGAACCCACAAAGATGACAGGAGACAACACAGCATCTTGAAGAAATAAGAAACTTGCTTTTTACCAAGTCATTCACTTGACAAGTCAGTATTAGACTGGTCTTTAACAGCAGATAACGTGTTTTTTTTTTTTTTGTTGTTTGTTTTTTTGTTAAAATTTTATACAGTTCACTCTACATTTTGACTCATAAACAATTCAGCATGTGTTGCAACAATAACAATTACTTTGCAGTTTCAACAGGACAGCAGTTTGCCTTGTCACCTTCAAAGTAAAGGTAACAAGTTGACTACTACTACAAATCATGAGGAACTCAGATCTTACTCTCTGAATATACTACCCAGCTGTAATATCAGTTCGATTTCAGCCAGACTTCTTGTATGGAGACAGCATCATTATTTCATGAATCACCAGTGACCTTTGGAAGATACTAGGAAAAGCAGGCATGTTCATTCCCTTCCATTGATTTTCTAATTTTGAGTAAATTGGTTTAATCTGGGGAGCGGTTATCTATTAGGAATAAAAATACCTAAAGTGACTTTAGAAAACAGTATAAAGCTTTTGAACTGAAACAATGAAGTTAGAAGGGAAATCTGAGGCAAGAAGGTAGTGATTATATACATCTTAATTTGCACATGATTCTGTGGCCAGTCACACAAGTATGAAAGAACTGAAATTCCTTTGAACTTAAAAGACCTAAAGGCCTAGATCTTAGTTTTATTGCATCGTGTGTCTGGAATATGTATTTGTTTTACCCATGAACTGTCTGATGTTGGAAAAAAAATGCAGAAAAATGAGTCACCTAAAATGTGTATGTGGTATAGGTATTGTTTTCACATGGTTAAAATAAGACATAACATGCTGAATATTGACAACATTGGATAGTCCTGTATCTAACCAACATAAAAGACTAGTTCAGTAAATCAGTATATACACTCAAAATAAAACAAGGTTGAAGAGTGACAAGTTAAGATCTTTTGGATTTCCCTGAAGCAGACTGCAAGGAAAGAACCTAGTCGCCTCGAGGAACCTAAGAGAACACAGCCCTACATAACTGAGGAAAGTGGTTATGTACAGAATAACCATTCAGGTCATCACTGTAACGGTTTCCAGATTTCATACGTGGTGATAACATCTAGATTTAGTTTATTGCCTTCTGAATCTCAAATTGTCATACGTAAGTTTTCTTTATTATCAGTTCATGCTCTCATTATATATCAACAATAAATGTAGTAGATTTTTGCATGATAGTAGCTCACCTCCAAGACACATGCAGACAATCTGTCCCTTTACTATTCCTTTCTTGTATTTTCATGGGGTACTAAGTATTGGTACTAAGTTAATTATTCCAATAAGTCTTCTCAATAAAAACAAAATTCTAGAAAAAAGATTTAAAGCACTGAACTGTAACAATCTCATAGCAAGCTACACACACAATTAGGTCTTTTTTGTTTTTAATTTGCTTTTTTTGTTGTTTGCTGCCAAACAGTCAGTTGGTAACTCTAGTTTGACTTCCATTTATTCCTGGGATCTTCGCTCTCATCAACCAACACCAGAAGTCTTGTCCAACAATGATGAACTTTTAGATTTATAAATAGTGATCACAGAACATACCTTCTTATGCCAAAATAAGAAATTAACAAAAATCTATAAAAGACTCCTCAAAGTTGATCATTCCAACCCCCAACCCCAACAATACTCCTGAACATTTCCTAATATCACAGGAGATTATAGGTATGAACATTAAAATATCTCGTGATTGGAAACTTACCTCACGATCCAACATTGAAGGTGACACCACTGTGACAATATCTCCCTTCTCTGGATCAATATAGAACATGTTTGGAGATGGTTTGGTGGGTGTCTGTTTGATGATGTTATATCGCAGAAGAGCATTGTCTGTGCTAGAGTCATCAGCATCAAATGCTGTCATACGCATCACAGTTGTTCCTAAGGGAAAGATGGACAGACAATGTAGTTAGTAAGAACACTTAAAATTATGCTGCCTTCACCTGTGAGAACCAGGTGGGTACAAAATAATTATCTCATCAAGACCATTAAATAGTTTCACATGATACTCAGTCTGTAATTGCAATTTTCCTTTTTTTTTTTTTTTTTTAATTACTACTGAGCTAACAACAAAAAGTTGTTAGTGCTTCTGGTTTGCAGCTGACAAATTACTAACCAAAAATTTTGTTGCTATCCACATTAATAACATTTCACTGGGTGAAGTGCAGATGCATCTTCTATGCTTTAGATTCTACAGGTAGAAAGTCTACAAGAAATCCATGATGAAGACAGCAATGCTGAAATAAGAGAAAGATCTCTGTACTTTGAATTCTTGCACAGTTTCAAAACTGGCTGGACGTTTTAATCCTTCTGTCAGTATGACAAATTTTATCATGAATAAAGCCTACATTATTCTAATTTTGATTTGAACATACTTATGGGATTATTGCATAATTCTCAATATAAAATGCCCACCTTTATTGCCAGACTATCCTTATCGTGATGAAGTTGCTTTTAATATGAAAATGCTATAGCGTACACTTCTGCTATAGAGAGCAATAGGGTGAATGCTGCTGATTGCACAGATTCTTAAATAATTTACAGAGGAAAAACCTTAATACTCTTCTACCTCACAGTTAATACAGAGGCAACTGAGGTGCTGCCAATTCTCTGGTTACCTAATGGAGCACATACTCCCACATCATGGGATCAAGTATTTTGCCATCTCTTGGATAGGGGCACCAGACGATGACAAAATTAAAATGCTATCATAGCATCATTTATTTGCTTTGTGAAGTAATTTGGGAACAAAGGAAAGGAAGTAATTCGACATCTGTGATATTCACTCCTAGACCATTAAAACTTATTCAGTTAATTTACTGGTATAAATATAATTTTATATATTTTTTTAATATAACTGAAAGCAATATGTCATCACACCAAAACTAAAGCATTTCTGGTAATATTTTCCTGAACAAAGAATAGAATCCTAACAAACAAAGAAGTTGTGATCAAATCAGTGAACTAGTTCCAACGGTGGATCAAAATTAAGTAACAAATTACTGCAAAAGATATTAGCAAATTTTAAACCAACAAGGGAATATAAGAAGGTATCTGTTCCTTTGCCTCAAAACCTCAACCAAAACAATTTATCAAATTCCATCAACTATCCAATTTGCACTTAAGTTACTTAGTAGTGAAACCGTATCATGTAATGTTTGAACCACAAAGTTAATTATAATTCTTTGCTAGAGTTCAATTCTTATATAGCGTCTAACTCTTTACTCCCCATAGACTTTCAATAGACAAGTATTACTCTAAAATGTCATGAGGAATCATAAGAATGGCTTCGGTTGGAATGTAACTTAAAGATTGTCCAACTCCAACCCCCTTGCCACAGGCAGGGATGCCACCCACTAGATCAGATTGGCCAAGGCCCCATCCAGCCCGGAATACATTTGAAATACATTTTCACTTCATGCTGGGTCTGTAAGACTTGTCCTCAGTATCCACAGAGACTTTGCAAAGTAACTACAAAGGGATTAAAACCCTCTAGTACAGACAAGGCCTAAGACATTACATTGGAAGTGCCTGCAGAACGGAAATAAATATGTAACATTCGTGTATGGTAATAAGCAGTGAGCTTTTATTCTTTGTGAAGGTCTTCAAGCATAGATTACTTAAAATCAAATAAAAATGAAGTATTGCAGTAAAAATAAAAACAACTAATCTACAGGCTGACATAATTGTTTCACTCACTGTTAAACAAACATAACTGGCTTGTTTAGATGTTTCTTTTTTTCTTTTGCTGCATTTCTCAAAGTATTGCCTCTTGTTGTAGTGACCTTGAATACAAGCTCTCAAAGGTTTTGCTTCATTGCTACTTCAGGCAGAGTTACCCCCCTGAGAAATATAACAGAGATCTGACAGCATGTTGGTTTTATTCACCAGTGATTAAAGGTCAGACAGCTCAAAAAGAAGCTTACCACTGGATGCCATGCCATGTTTTCCAATATTACAAGATGATCCTAGCCCTGATATTTTCAACTACTTTGAGACTTTTTCAGAAGCAAAAAGAAAAAACATCTTTCTGTTTTGAAGGATGAATATTCAACCTCTTTTTAAAAGTACAAGGAACTTGTGACACACTGTGCTATTTTTTTTTTTAGGTATTTATTGTATTTGAAGAAGATTATTTATATTCATGTTAGATAACGTTTCATGAAGATCATCCAAGTCACAAGACTTCACTGAAATAAATAAGAGTTAGGGCAAGACTTCAAGAGATCTTAGAGTGCTCAAAAAGTGTTTCACTCAAATGAAATTCAATGGTAGTCAGTACATGACTCGTCCTTGAAAAATGCAATTTAATGGGATGCTGTGTTCAAGTACATTACACTATATTTTTAAATGAATTTAAATTTCTACCATTATTCATCTATTAGAGGAGTTATGTTCAGCAGAGATTCAAACCTGATTCAAATACATACTCAGGTGGAAATCCTATTTATACAGTTGTCCTAGACAGTTTTACTGAAATATTTCTAATGATGAGTGTAGAAGGCACATACAGATTTTAAGATCTCATGTAAATCCCCAAATCGCTAGTTACTCTGGCATAAAGCTGGCTTGATACAATGGCTGAATCTGACTCTGATTTGCCAGCTGCAGTTCTTTAACCTTTCTATTCTCTGGACATGATCTTGTTCTGTGTAATCTGTTCTGCTGCAAAAAGATAAAAAAAATTCTAGTAAGTCAGAAGAACAGAATTTCACATTCATTTTGCACAGAGATGCTAGTGCCAGTAGGACAGGTGTTGAGAATATGATCCATTTGTTTTTATCTTGCCTCTGCCAAAGATTTTGAGATATTGCTAACTAGTTAACATCAAGGTAGTATGTATGCTTAAACAAAAGTTATTCTACTCTCACAAGTTCATATAATAGATGCAAAAATGCACATAAAAATTGTCTTTAGATGTCATTATACATTAGTACAGTCTGTATAAAACTTTATCTGTTTTCTGTTTGTGAACATCAATAAAAAGAACTACTTCTCTTTAAACACCACCTATATACACTCACCACCACAACCACCAGGGAAGCTGCTTAATACTGCTACTGAAAACAGCAAGGAAACCTTGCACTGAGTTGAAAACTGGTGCTAGGCTTCTGCAGCCACGCTGAGAATGGCTTGTACTCAGAAACATATCCCTGTGCTCACACTCACAAGTATGTTTGCAAACTAACCAGAGTTCACTGTCCATTCATCTCAAAGCACAGTGGTACCTCTTGTGTATTCTACTCCATTAAAACAAAACAAGTAAACCCACTTCTCATATAAAAAAAAGTTATAATGGGCTGGTATTTGTTATTGATGCCTCAAAATCACAGCAGCATTAAACCAGGAGCTAAATCATATTCCAAGAACCTGTTGGAGAAGTCTCATAACTGTATTTCCAGATAAGAGCTAGCCTCAGTTGGGGTGTACACTGAGAGTACAAACGTGACCATACATTTAGGATGGGGCCACCACAAAGACTATGTTTAGAGATTTCATTCCTAAAAATGCAGTCACGCTAACTTTTATTTTAAAAGGTTCTACCACATACATCCGGTCCAAAAGAGTTTAAATCAAGATGCATGCCTCCTCAGTTTTACTCCTTCATCATAAAGTTTTATTCTTCATAAAAGATTCATTTCCCCAGACCCATAAACTGACTACTTCTAATTCAGTGTCATTTTATAAATACTTCCATTCCTGGCATCAATCAAATGCAGCTGGCTTTCAAACCACAAAACAACAGCTTGCTACATTATCATGTTAAACAATATATATTAACTTATCAAGCTGAGGAACAAATGTCTGCAAAATCAGCAACTTTATAGTTCTGCTGATGATGTGCAGATAGTCATTGAGGCAGTCTCTCTCAGTGAAGGTATAGTTATGCTGTGTTGTATTTCAATATTCATGCGTTATTTGCCACACCTTATGTGCAGTTTCACTGTTACCATAATCGCTCAAAGCCTCTGCTTGCACCTCCCAGAGCTGCTCATCGATCAGGAATATCCACTAGCCAAGTCATTGCTCCAGAGGCTGCAGCTATCAATCTGTTGATTGCTCATTTGGCCTGTAAGTCGGCTTGGAAATATTGGCAAAAAGCTCCCTTTAGACATTAAGAAGTAAAGCACAATGCTTACACAATTTTGTGGTGATTGGAGCAGATGGTTTCTTGGGAAAGGCTCTCTGGCATTTTGTTATTTACTTTGTAATAACCTTTTTCTTCCTTTCATCTTCTCCACCCCCCCCTTTTTTTTTCTTTGAACTTCAATATGCCAAGAGGATGGTAGGGACAGTTCAGCTGATGGATGAGATTACTACTAACAGCCTGACCCCTTTTTTATTATTTATTTTTATTTTCTTCTTCTGTGTGGCCTTATGACTTTGTGTCCAACTCCTTTTCCAGTTCTGGTGTAGAGGGCAACTGTTCTACATCCTGTTCCCAACTGTCTGGCAAGGGATTCATCAGGTGTAACTGAGTGTTACACTGATGCACGTTGTGATTTTTGAAATTTTGTAGAGTTTTCCTGAGCAATACAAGCATTTTTATTTCTGTCTTTCAACGTGACTCAGGTAACATTCATTCACTCGTTATATTTAAGTGCAATTTATTGCTATTAAAATAAATTTACAAAAAGGACTGAAGTTTAGTGGAAGTTAGACCTATTTCTAGCTTGATCAAATATGTGAACACGTGTCTTTACATAAACCCTTAGAAAAAGACTCTGAATTTGAATAGAACATTAAAATATTCAACTTAAGGACTGAACAATTTTGAGTTAGTGCTTAAAAACTTCCTTTTAAAAGTAGATTTTTTTATTTGTTTCCACTGTATGTTCAGTTCTGTCTTCTGCACATACTGCAGAAAGAGTCCAATTTCA